CAGGGCACTCCGATGTTAAACGGTTTCTGACAATTTCAAAAAAAAATCATTATAACAAAAAAAAAACCCCACGATAACAATTATTTTGTTAAATAATTGTTAACATGATTTTCTGGTTTTTTCGAATTATGTTTTTTTTGTTTTTTTTTAAACTATTTAACAATTTTTTTGTAAGCGATCCTCGAAGGAAGTTGCCATCGACAGCCTTGCCAGTTGGCAGATACTGTTAGTATTTGCTATCACGCGGGCTACTATTTTCCGAATTCTTCTGTCACATTAGACAGGGGATACAGTTTTGACTTGGATTCTTGGATGACTTTTTTTTTGATTTGGATGATTTTTTTTTTCGTTATTTTGTTAAATAATTCTTGTCATGATTTTTTGGTTTTTTAAATTATTCAGCATTTTTTTAACCAAAAAAAAAAGATCATGATAACAATTATTTACAAGGAATCCGAGTCTAAAACGCGTACTCCCTTTCTAATAAGATAAAATTATTCAGAAAGTAGCCCGTGTGATAGCAAACACTGACAGAAAGGACCTACTGGCAAGGCTGAATCCGATTGCAACTTCCTTCGACGATTGCTTATAATCCTGGCATATATCTGTATCAATTTACCACTAAAACGAATGAACGAATCATGGAGAGATTGGTTGGCATCAGCGAAGTTCAACCCACGATCTACTGCACTGACAACACAGACAGGCTACTAAGTCACTGTACATACAGTAATTTCCAACAGTTTATGATTCCGATACATATCATCTCTTTGATGGATAATCACTACTACTACTACTACTCATCCCAAGAACGTCTCAGAGGCCAATTCTGTTCATCGTCCATTTTGAAAATTCAAAATGGGCTCGCAGAGCAAGGATGATTTTAACTCATCACTGACGTTCAAAGTGGCGCTAAATTTTACCGCATTTTAATCGAATTTTGCGAAAATTGTTAGAAAACCACATTATTAAGTCACTAAAACTGCAAAATATGGGATAAACAAGATGATCGATAGCAGAATGAAGGACTATCTTTTGCGCTACTGAATTTATCCACATGAAGTACGAGAATGGAAAAGTTGCCAACTGCAGCATTGATAGCAGAAAACAAATATGGCGATGAAAAACAGTAACGATACAAAATGCCACAGATGTACTTCCACCAGCATACGTTTTCGACACTGTTTGGACTGAGTATTTTTTTGCAAAAGGGTGCAAACCAGGAAGGAGTCGAACCACCCTTCTTCACATCCGGGTGCGACGTGCTATCCACTACACCACAAGTCATTGTACCTATGATCAGCCTGGCAGCACTTCCACTTTTATATGATTTAATGGATCGAAACGTCTTATCTCACTCTTATCTCTTTCTGTTCTCGTACTGTTCTCCCATGCTGTAATCAACCGTATTCTCGCCATTTAGGCTTCCAAGGTCAATCTGACTGCTACAGTTAGTTGATATGTTTTTAAGGCAGCATATACCTTTCTTGTCTCTCTTCCCATAGGCAGTACATACTATTTTTTTGTGGCAGATTCTTCATGTTCCAGCTTTCCGCGTGTTTTTCTGGGGCACCTGCTGGCTAATAATACTTACCGTAAAAGTGCTTCATCAC